ATCCAACCTCAAGCTCTTCTGGCGCCCTTAACCCTTACATTCCACCACCAGCTCTCCTAACAAGCCCAGTCATTTCAAGGCGTGCAGTGTTTCCCTAAAGGAAGTCTATGCTCTTCACTTAATCTTCCTTTCCCCACACTACAGTACTGATTTTTTTGTTTAATACCATAAATTTAAAACAGCAGAAATAATAACTAAAACTATAGTAATAACTTTCTGTGATAGCCTACTTTTTTTTTTTTTTCAGTACTGGGGATTGAACTCAGGACTCGGTGCTTACCAGGCAAGCGCTTATTCTACTGAGCTGTCTCCCTGGCCTGATAGCCTATTTTTTAAAGCAGTACTAGAGTCAAAGAAAAATTGAATGGGAAGTGAAAATTTTGTCATTTAAGTAGATATTTATAGGTACATATTTTGACCTAGGCACTATGTTAGGGGTTTAATATGCTGTAGAATATTTTATGTGGACAATAAGCTTATGAAAGGGTAGCATTAGATTCCTATTTTACATTTAATAATACTGAAGCTTTGAGGCAAAGTAATTTGCCCAAAATTGGGTCAAGATGTGACAGTTGTTTTTTGTGACTATAGTGCTTGCTTTGAACTATGTTATACTCTTTCAATTAAAAACAAAAAACAATAATGAACCAAACAATACAAAACACAGAATTCTACAAAGCGACATTTATTCTTGCAAACAATGGTATCAATTATAAGTGGTCTGATTTCTTCTATAATCCTATATTCCTACATGTAAAACTCTATACCTCAAGTTGTGTAACATCCTCAGACTTCCTAAACCCTTGAGTCTGGGTGCTAAACACAATTTTTCCGCTGATTTCTCTTCACATACTTCTATGTCTTACTTGTGATAGTTCTGAATCTTTGTATGTTTCTCCCTCTATCTGGAATACTGAAACTAATGGGAACTAATAAGAGAACACTCCGTTCTCTCTCCCTCCTCCCTCCCTCCCTCCTTTCTCCCCTCTTTCTCTCTCTCACCCTCCCTGCTTCCCTCTCTCCCTCCCTCCCTCTCCATCCCTGTCTCTCTCTCTCTCTCTCTCTCTCTCTCTCTCTCTCTCTCTCTCTCTCTCTCATATCAATTTCTTGCAAAGACAGTAATTTTCTCAAAGACAGAGATTTTGTTTTATTAATCTTCACATCCAAATATCTGGCCAATCCTTTGTAATGTCTAGATATTTGCTGAATGAATAACAGGGAAGAACAACTTGGTTAAAAGGAGAGTCTCAAGAGAAATTTATCTGGGGAAAGAAAAAGGAGACAGAAAGGAAATTTCTGGCAGCCATGTCAGAAGATGGCGAAGGATCATCTGACTCCCTTAAATACCTGAAAGTGGGATTTGGGGGCCACTAAATTACCATGGAAAATAAGTTGGGCACACAAAATACCAGCTCTCAGAAGATGTTGATCTCGTGTAGGTATGTGTCAGGTCTGAATTCCTTGGCGATGCCAAGGCCCAAGGGAGTAAAAGCAGAGCACCTTATAATTATCATGCAGCCCCTCCTGAGTGAGGAGCGGAGGCTGACACGGTGCAGGACGCCTGCAGAGGCCAGGGCAGAACACGCTGATGAGAGAGGAGACAGTGAGTCCCCGCAGCTCTTGGGTTTGTGGCTAGAGTGAGCTGACTCAAAGACCCCTATGATGTCACTTATCTAACAGATAGTGTAGAGGAGTACAGGTTAGGGTGGGTCCCCTGAGGATGGCCAGTCTGTGGTTAGGGGAGCTGTCCTGGGATATCTTCCATGGTTGTTTTGGTTGGGAAGAGAACCTTGGACTTGTTACTGGGCTGTTTTGTACTGGAAGGACTGGACTGGGTTTTGTAATGGTGCAGCAGAAAGAGAAATTAGCTAAGAGGTGAGGCTTCCAATATTTTATCACCCTTTTACCAAAGTTCAATTAAACCAGACAACGTTCTTGGAAAGGAAGCCACCAAACATGAAAATATCCGGCATGGAAGGAAACTAAAATGCAAAAATATTTTGTAACTTCACAGAAGCCACACCACTGGTGAGCTTGCTCAGGACCCCAGGCTTCCTAATGCGAGATCCTCACTCTTAATTACCGCTGACTTTACATTACATCATTACGCGCTGGCTTTCCTTGAAAGCTGACTGCGGGTGTGAAGAGAACAGAGCATGGCAGAGAAATATTTCAGCGAAGCATCCACAGGGAAGGTAGCATCGGATACTGTAAACAATATTAATCTGCACTGACCGTATGGTTCGAACTACCCCTCACTTAAAATTCACATAAATGGCCCCCTATCCTACGAAGCACCTATAGTTGCCCCAACTTCTCATATGAACAAATGAAACTAAGCGAATACTGTGCACAGTCGTAGACAGTCAGCACATCATGCCCTTGTGCTGGGGTGCAGATCTGCTCCCCGCCCATCCTCAGGGAGAGGTGCTGCTCGGAGCATTCTGACTGGAGGAGCCGGCTGGGGCCGCGGGCTGTGGGAGACGCCCGGGCTCCTCCTGTGAGGCACGAACTCCTGCCTCCGTCTTGCTGGGGTCCTCCCTCGCACCCTCCGTGTCTGACCCCACTCCCCAGTCCCGTCCTCTCTGCTCGCGATCGCCTCTCCTGCGTCCCTTCACAGACCTTCTCCTCTCACCAAGACCTCTTTCCCTTCTTCCAGCCCCTAGGGCGCCCTGGCCTCTGCCTCTCAGCGCTCCTGGTCCCCAAGGTTCACCGGACGCATTCGCTGGCGTTTTCCTGCCCGCCCCTGCTCTTTTCTTTCCCTTATCTTGCTCCCGCTCTGCGAAGCTTCACTTTCTTCCTCCAACTTAGGCGACTTCCTTCCCCTTTCCCACTAGGCCGATCTTCTCTGTGTTCTCTTTTCCCTTTCTGTCCTGTCGCACGTCGCAGCATCTTTCGCTGGGCCCTTCTCCTTCCGTCCCTTCTGCACAGCGCCAGCCGCCCCCGCTGCGAGCCCAGACTCTCCGGCTCTTCCCGCGCCTGCCTCTCATCTTCCTCCTCCGTCCCCAGGCCCGCGGCGCCCCACCCCGCAGCCTGCTTCCTCTCACTCGGTCTTTGACGCCCCCTTTCCCATCTCTTCATGTTCCCACGGTACCCCATTCCCTTGCTCAATCCTTAGGACCTAAAGGTACATCACGCGGCCTGCTGAGAACCAACACACTATCCCAGGAAGGCGGTGAAGAAACATATTTCTACACATTAAGAGGGAAAAGACGGTTCAAAATGGGGAGAAATGACAAGAAAATCAGTTTGGGGCTTAGGAGTAATAATAACAAATACATTTAACACTTATTGTAATCCAGATGGCCAGCTTCTATTCCCATGGTCTGTCAGCTCAAACCAGCTATTCTTTGATTAGGAAATACTATCCTTACTTTGCTGATGAAAACTGCATAGGAAAATGTTGTGCTAGACACTGAGATGTGGGCAGCAGAGTTCGCCTGGTTAGCACTCTACCAGGTGTGCTGTTTTTAGGATTCAAGAAACTTGGCATAGAAATAGGCCTTGTTATTGTTCCTGTTGCTTTAATATCTGTAGGAAACACTGCTCTAATAAGTCTTCCTGACTTGATGAGACTCTAGGTTGTGTCAGTTTCCAAGGGAAGGGACAACTGGGATGAGGGAAAGGAGAAAAGAGAGTAGGAAGGCTATAAATATTTGAATAATTTTGAATAATTGTACTGCTGATTTCTCCTAGTCTATTTAATGAGCAGTTAATGCTTAATTTTTTTTTCTATCTTCTTTTTAATTTTTGAACAACTTTGCATGCTTCTATCTGGTAATCTAAACAACTAATTTGAAGACAATATGCAATATAACAACCATTGTTCAATACCTATCATTTTGTTTAGTAAAATTGTGACTCATTTCCATTTTTTTACTATTTTATTCTCTTTAAAATTTTTTTTTCAAAAAGTAGTCTGACATGATTGTGTACTCTGAATATTTTAAAAAGAAAAATATTCTCAGTACTCTGAGTAAAGGTAGTAGCTTTAAAGACATGGGCTATAGCCAGGAGGACTGTTACATGCTGATAATTCCAGCACTGTGGGAGGCTGAGGCAGGAGGGTTATGAGTTCAAGAATATCCCAGTCAATTTAGAAACTCAACAAGATTCTGTCTCAAAAAAATTAAAGGATTTTGATGCAGCTTGATGCAAAGACCCTATTTGCAATCCCTAACATTGAAGGAAAAAAAAAAAGACAGACAGACTGACTGACTGACTGACTGACTGACTGACTGACTGACTAACTGACAGACTGGTGGTCAATACTGGGTTAATATGACTATGAGAAGAGGGAGAACCCAGGGGGACTGAGAAGCTGTCTGAGGCCTGTACACTATAGAGAGCCAGGGACTCTTCAGACGTGTGAGGTTTGGCAAGCAGGTGAATATCTCTTCTTCCAATCACATGGAAATCACACACCAACAAGGAGATAGTGTACAGAGAAGATTAGGGAAGGATACTCCTGAATTATCCTAAATTTACTTAGAAAAGTTAGAGATAATTCCCTCTACGTGAGGGGAAAAAATCAAGGCCATAGGAAGATGAGCTCAGCAGAGCAGAATTTTAAGAATCTGAGTATTCTAATATTGAACTGTATATTACTTTTTAATCAGAGACGTTCAAAGAAGGCATGTATTGTTAGGTGGTAAAAAGTAGGGCAAGCGGGCTGGGGAGATGGCTCAGTGGAATAAGCACTTCTCTGGCAAGCAGAAAGGCATGAGTTCAATCCCCGGTTCTGCCAAAAAAAAAAAAAAGTAGGGCAAGAATTTAATGTAGTTAAGAAAGCATAAGACAGAGTGAGAAAAGGCACAGGGAAAGCATGAGAAGGGCTTAGGCTGAGGGCAGGGGTTAGTGAGGGGACACAAAGTCCCTGTGGAGATGACAGAATGCTCAGGCAGGTGCCTTGACCAGGGGAGGTGACGCTAACTGATCTGAGGTCTGAACACTGCGCCCCTTCCACAGGAAGAACAGGAAGAGCATCCCCTGTGATGAGGATGCCCAGTCTAACAAAGGCCAACCTGAGCTACTCTACGTTCCTGCTGACGGGCTTCCCAGGCTTGGAGTGGGCTCACCACTGGATATCACTGCCTATTTTTGTAGGATACCTCGTGGCCCTCCTGGGCAATGTCACCATCTTGCATCTTGTACGCACAGATCCCTCCCTCCACCAGCCCATGTACTACTTCCTAGCTATCCTGGCTGTGACAGACCTGGGCCTGTGCATGTCCACGCTGCCCTCAGTGCTGGGTGTGCTGTGGTTTGACGCCCGGGCTGTGGGCCTGGTGCCCTGTGTTCTGCAGCAGCACTTCCTCCACTCCTTCTCCTTCATGGAGTCAGCTGTGCTCTTCGCAATGGCTCTGGACCGCCTGGTGGCCATCCGATTCCCCCTGCGCTACGCATCTGTGCTCACTGGTCCTCGCGTGGCCCTGGCTGGGCTGGCACTGGCCATGCGGAGTGCTGCCATCACCGCAGCACCTTCACTGCACCTGCTGAAATTTGACTACTGCCGTCCGGGGGCACTTTCCCACGCCTACTGTCTCCACCAGGACATGATCCGCCTGGCCTGCTCAGACACGCACTTCAACAGGCTCTACGGGCTGTGCATCATCATGCTGGCCATGGGCTCTGACGTCCTCTTCATCCTGCTGTCCTACATCGTCATCCTCCGCACCGTGCTGGCTATTGCCTCTGCCGGCGAGCGTCTCAAGGCCCTCAACACCTGCGTCTCCCACATCCTGGCTGTGCTCTGCTTCTACGTGCCGATGCTAGGCCTGTCCATTGTGCACAGGTTCGGGCATCACACGTCGCCCCTGGTGCACATTCTCATGGGCACTGTGTCTGTGCTTTTGCCACCCCTGATGAACCCTGTCATCTATAGCATCAAGACCCGTCAGATCCGCAGGGCCATTGTCAAGGTGATCTCGCTGGGGAGGATACGGTGAAATCGCAAGGGCGGACCACAGCAGCACAAAACGAGGAACCGAGGAGTCAAGGCCTTTTTTCACGGCAATTTCACCTACTGCCTTTACTGTGATCATCGTATGGTAAATATAAAAAATAAAGGCCATGTCCATTACAAATAGTATATTACTTATAAATATACGATCAAAGTTTTCTTACATGAAAATGATTTTCTATAAATACTTACAAGTTGAAAGTGATTGTATACTTCTCCCTCACAGATCTACTGCAACTCTAACTCTATGTAATATAATGTTAATTGTAATGATACTGTTAGCAATAAATTACTCTGACGATATAGAAGTTAAATCATGACTTTCTATTCTTTGGATTAACTAATTGCTTTACCACCATTCTCTCCCATGATATATTTCCTTTTGAAAAATGCACACATTTTATTTTTAATTGACAAGATTGTGTATATAGATTACATAGGACATGATAGAAGTACACATAGGCTATAGAATGCCATAATCTAGCAAGCTAAGAGGTGCTTGCTGTGGTTTGTGTCTAGATGTCCCTGCAAAGCCTCATGAGGTCATAGGTGGAGCTTTATGGTGGTAGCTGGCTCTATACCGTGTGATGCAGGGACTCAGGATGCGATGCTGGGCTGATTCACAGTGTGATGCCAGGACTAAGGGAGCCCGTCTTGGGAGTGAGTGCTACCCACCTCAGAGCAGTGGCCTGGAAGACTATAAGGGACAGAAAAAGGGCTTTGGTGGCTGCTGCGTGCGGATTGCTGCCCTCTGTCTGTCCTGCTTCTCCTCTGTGATGCCCCTGTGCTATGCCACCTGCCTGACAACCAGCTGGCAATGGACTGAACCTCTACAAGCTGTGTGCTACAATAGACCTCTCCTCCTTTAACTTTGGGATATTGAGCATTTTGTCTGAGCAAGAAAAAAGTAACTAAGACAGTGCCTTACCTCATAGAGTTACTGTTTTATTAAACATACACGTGCACAGCATTTTTAAGAATGTATTTACTGTAATTACCACTCTATATCATAGATTATGTGAACCTATTTCTCCTACCTGAAATTTTGTAACCTTTGGACAAGGTCTCCCCAGCCCATGTCTCCTAATAACCTCACTATCTGACAGCACCTTTCTGTTGTCTACCTGATAGCAGATTTCATAAGTTTCATAAGAAGGGTTATGTGGTACTTATCATTCTGGGCCTGGCTGACCTCCTTTAACATAATATCCTCCAAGTTCACTGACATGGTTGCAAATGCCAAGATTCCTTCCTTGTTTTTTTTTTTTTT